CATGGTCAGGTGGTCAGAATGGGACTCCTGTGGAGCAGTTTGGAAACTAGCAGTCACAGTGGAAGTGGTGCATAAGGAGATGGCCTTGAAAGGGAGGTTGGCCAAATTGATATCATGTATGTTTTTTGGATTTTTTATTTTTTCTTCCTAATGGGCAAAACTTTGTGATAGCATTTCATGAATATTGAATTATTTCCATATGCCTGTAATTTGAGTCTTTAAATAATCGGGCTAATTTACTTGCTCCACACCCCACAAGCTACATACTTCCAGATGCAAGTCGTCAAAGTGGTCAGAAGACCCGGGTGGTGAAGCACTCCATCAGTCCTACTTACAACCACACCATGGTATACGACGGCTTCCATACCAGCGACTTGAGAGAGGCTTGTGCTGAGCTGACGGTGTGGCAACGCGAAGGGTTAAAGACTCATGTCCTCGGGGGCGTCCGTCTGAGCTGTGGAACTGGTTAGATCATCTATATTGCACATTTTAATAGTTTAACTGAAAATCACATTAAAAAAGACCCTAACTATTTAGGGTTACAGAGGAAGAGGTGATATGGAAAGAAAACTTGACCTCTGAGAAGTACAAAGAAGTAATGCAGCATCGTAATAAGGTCATATTTATATAATTTATGTTTTTTGAATAGATTGTGGTTACTGTTACACATAAATCTGACTAGAGAGTGACTATAAATGAAGGTGATTCTAACAGTTTTTGTAAATAATTTGTCAGCGTGTTGTGCTGGCTATTTTTTTTTTATAACTAGTGAAAAACAGTGAAAAGTGGTAAGATATCTTTGCTTGATACATCCTTACATGCAATACTAAGAGCCACGAGTGATTAGGGACTGCATTGTTTCCTCTTGTCTCCCTGTCTGTTGTTTGTCTCTGTAGTTGACTGGAGGCTCTGACAGGATCTCCTTGTCTTTGTGCTAAGCTTTTGAAATGGTGTCTCGTGGGTGCTGTGATACTTCACAGGTTTGCAGGAGGAAAGCACTTCTTGTGTTCGAGGCTGGAACATTAATGCGATTGTTGCACTTGTCTCATATTTCTACGCTTTGTCGACCTTGTCTTGAAAACCCGTCTAATTTTTTTCTATAGTGCTGATAGTTGAGACAACCTTAGAGTGAAATGCTTCATACTGAACTAATGCCTGCTGGCATGTCAGGCATTTCATATGGTCGTGTCATCGGAGCGAAGTCACCTCGCTGGTAATGCAGCGTCTCTGTTATTGATGTTGCAAAATCCTCATCTGCTTGGTTGCTTTTGAAATCTACCACACAGACTGCAAGATAGATTTAGCAGGTGTGTCTAGTGACACACAGAAAACAGTTTAGTTTCCCTCAAGTACTTATCCTTAATACTGATTGTGTTTTTTTGCTCGTAGATTGTGTTACTGTGCTTTATATGGAGTGGGAAGCACTCAAGATCAAATTGCAGGCAGAGCATCAGCTCCATTATGTCTCACTGCGAGGAAGATGATGTCAGAGGGGTGGGAAGTAACAGCTTTGAAGGATTTGTTTTGTTACAGACAGATTTTGAGCAAAGTTGTGTTCTTCAAAGGGCAGAGCTGTTGACTGCTGAGGCTGTTTGTTGCTGTCAATTTTAGCTTGGAGGTTGTAGTCACGATTTCTCAATGGCTGTATGCAGAATTTTAGTCTGTTGGTTAAAACTTTTTCCTTCTTCAAATGGAGTGTATGTGCATGGACACGCAGGGAGTGTTCACATGTTTTTGTTTCCATGATCTCTTTGAGAAAAACAGCTGCGGTAAAGTCCACAACATAAATAATGACCACACGTGTGGGTTTTCTGTAATGCCAGGTCAGAGTTACGGCGAGGTCGTCAGCTGGATGGATTCCACAGAAGAGGAAGTCACTGTGTGGATGTCCATGATTGAGAATCCAAACCACTGGATTGACGCAACGCTACCGATCAGAACTAACCTCACCCGGCGGGCTGAGTGACTCAGACGTATCCTGCACTCAAACGGAATCATTCGTATGCACGTTGCTATTATGGTCGGACTGAAGGGAAGCCATCTTCACATCTGAACATTTTCCTCTCTGTCACAGTGATGCACACTTAAACACACAGGTGTTTTTCATATGTTCATACTATATACTGTACATGGCACAGAAACACACAGGGAGGTGTAAGCAGTGGTATAATATTTTGCCTTAATGGAGTGGATTGGATCGGTTCAGTCTGGCTCTAATCTGGCAAAGAGGCACTTTTTTCTTATTCAGTGTAGTTTATGAAGTACAAATCTAAGTGTTGAGTCATCAGTTCCCTGGCTTAGTGACTTCTCTGTGATATTACATAAAGTAAGAAGGGGGCGGGAGGTCTTTCCTTTTATTTCAAACTCAGTCTCAGCCCTTTCAGACAATTTAAGAAAGGCAGGCCTGATGACTTTCACTGTGAGAAATTCTCCTCATTCAGATAATTGTATCTTTTTTAGGTATCACTATTGTAAATAATTTGGAAAGTCCTTGCAGCTGAATTCACTCAGCTAATCTTTTTTGACTGAATAGCTGACTACCACCTTGTGGTCAGACTGTATACAAATTCTCGACACACTGAGCAAATGACAGGGGGCGCAGTGACGGCTAAGGTCACAGGCAAAGAAGTGAGAAGAAAAGGGCCTGTTTCCATGTTCCCCTAAAAATAAAGTTTATTTTTCACATCAGCTATTCTTCTTTATATTTCTCAACAAGAAAGAATTTACTACATGAATCATGATTCATAACTTGTGTCCAGCAGATGGCAATATTTACAATACTTTTTCAAGCTGGTATAACAGTAAGTGTCTGTGTTTTGTGTCTTAACGTTTGTGATTTCTGCATCTCATCGCAGGTTTTCCTTAAGTTGCACCTTTCTTGTTGACACCAGATACTGGAAGTCCAGTATTATTGGTATAAAGAGGCTGTTGGAAGGCAATATTAATTGTTGAAAAAACGTCTGCAAGACACTGTAAGAATCAAATGTTATTGGTTTCATAGTTTCCCCTGAAACACTAAGCTCTTGTGGTGAATTTTTAAATGTCGGTCATTCTGTCTTTATATAATTAGGTTTACTTTTTTATTACTTTTTATTATTGCCTTGGATAGTTATGTAATTCTAATTTTGTGTGCCCTGCAGATATTCACCATTGAGGTTTCTTTCTGAGAACTGCGGTCTGTTTGATATCTGCTTCACAACACTGTCTGCTTAAAATAATGTATTAATCTTCTGCTCCTGTAAGCTTTTTGTCATGAGAAATTACAGGTTGTCCTTGTTTTCTCCTTGACTCATTTTTCATGTCTAATATGATATCTAGCCGAGAGACATCAGTTGAAAATTACTTCTGACTCTAGCAGGTCCACGGTGTTGAATCATCCTTGAAAAACTAAATTAAAGTGACTGTGCACTTTTATTTTGTGGGGGGCTGATGGTGGATGTACTCTCCTTACATATCTGTTATGTATCTATTTGCATTAGACCCTCAAAATTGCCCTTTAAATCGTCAGATATACAGTGCTTTACAGTTGCATGTTTCAGTTTCAGAACAAATTTTAATATTAGACAAAGATAACTTGAGTAAATAAAAAATGCAGTTTTTAAATTATTTAATCTATTCAAGGGAAAAAGTTCTCCTTGTTAAATCATGAATTCACTTTAACCACATCACAGACCTGTTGAATTAAAAAAAAAATGGCATAGTAATAGAACCTATCAGACAAAGTGAAGTGGATTAAAAGTTTTCAAAAAGTAACACATCATGCTTCTAAAGAAACTACTGGGAAACAAAGTCGCTGACATCTGTCAGACTGGAAAGGGCAACAAAGCCATTTCTAGTGTTTTGGGACTCCAGCCATTATCAACAAACAGAAAACAATGTTGAATCTTGCCCGGAGTGGCCGGCCCTCCCAAGTTACTCCAAGAGCAGATTAAAGACTCATCCAATGACCATCAAACAATCATCTCTAGCTGCCTTGCTGCTTTGTCTCATAAACTTAAATGGGAGCAAAAAAAAAAAACCCCATCAGGAATGGGGCACTGCATATTGGAAAATGCCTTGCAAGCATGCTACAATCTGGAAAAACAAGTACATTTTATATGAGAAAGTCATTTTTTAAATAAATAATATTGGGCTATAATACATTAAATGAATGATTAATATTTTGAGATATACGCATTTAATTTGTACTTAATGCGGATTGCATATATGAAAATGATGTGTAGTTACGGTGTTTCCACCGGTAGTAAACCGTCGAGGTTCTTGAACACACACTACCGTAAACGTTTCGCGGTAGCCATGGCAACAGTACATCAACTTCCCTGTGAGTGGCCTGTAGCTGAGTCTGGCCTCATCGAAAATGTCAAAAATATCTGCTATGAACAAACGGGCGACACAGGCGCTCGCTGAGAACATTTCGAAACAAGTGGAGCACTGTGAGTATGACGGTTAAACTTCTCAAATCAATAAACGAAGCCAGCTTTGTTATAGCGGTAGTTCAGTCCATGCTAAGCTTTACGGTTCATTGTTTTACTTAGCAGGTATGAAAATACACACTGCCGTCTAAGTATTGTTAGAGCAGGTAAAGTGCACGCCATTTTTTGTTTCTGTTTATAGTCAGTAAAAAAGAGGTTGAGTGCCTTATCCGAGAGTTTAACGTCCTTATGGCGGAGCAGAACAACTCTGGCAGAGCTGTGCAAGGTCTGGACCGAGGGAAGTTCATAAGCACACTCCACAGCATCTTTGGACTGACTGATGACAGGATGACGGGTAGAGGTATTCAGTTTACAGTTATTTATATATTGTTTACAAACCCAGTTCCAAAAAAGGTGGGACGCTCTGTAAAATGTAAATTTGATCATTTCAAATTTGCATAAACTGTAGATGCAGTTTTTTGTAGACTGGCAAACCTCGGCCCATCTTTACTTTTGAGGAGCTCTGCTTCTCCAAGATGCTTTAAAAAATAAAATAAAATATCCATTCATGTCAGTGACCTGCTGCCAATTAACCTAAAGTTGCATCGTTTCTTTTTTTAGTACCACTTAGTTTTGCACCCTACTGTTGCCCTCTTAGCTGTCTTGAGATATGTTGGTGCCATCAAATTTAAACAGAGCATATATTGTTTTTTGAAATAGTAAAATGTCAATAAAATGGTGGAAAGTAAGCAAAATCTCCAAATCATCACTACCACCCTGTAAGTACTCTCCAATTTGGCACAACCCAGAATTCTCACCTCCACTACCTCTTTCAGAATGATTAAATTAAATCCTTCAGTACGCTTGGTCAGGAGTACAGTTGGGAATGAGCAATTTCTTCAGTACGAACAAGTGAAATCCATAATTAAATCCAAGACATGTTGTGAGTGTAACTGTGTGTCATTCAGTCTTCAGGACATTTGACAAAGACAACGACAGTGTTGTCAGCATGAAAGAGTGGATCGAGGGACTGTCCGTCTTTCTTCGGGGGACCTTGGATGAAAAAATAAAATGTAACTTCTCAATCTTACTTTTTTTTTTGCTTAAGCTCACGCTCACACCTTCACACATGTAGCTTTATCTACCTAAAAAAATCCCTGTGTTTGGCATGGCTCAGACTGCTTCTCTGTCTACGACCTGAATGGTGACAATGCCATCTCTAGAGAGGAGATGCTTCATATGCTGAAGGGCAGGCTCATCAGACAGCCCAATGAGGAGGACCCTGACGAAGGAATCAAAGACCTGGTGGAGATCATACTGAAGAAGATGGTGAGCTGTTTGCTGCACAGATATAACTGTTTACACATGATTAAAAAAAAACCCAAAACACTATTTAAAAAATTCTCAGGTCTGTAAATAGTTTAGCAGCTCTGCCAATGGTGCTTCCTCCCACAGGACTATGACCATGACGGCAAATTGTCTTTTGAAGATTTTGAAAAGGCTGTGAAAGATGAGCACCTATTGCTGGAAGCTTTTGGAACCTGCCTTCCTGACTTCAGGGTAATCTGTAATGAGAATTTGCTAAGCTCTTTAAATTTCCCCATCAAAAATTCTCAATCTTACAGTCTGCTTTTCTTATTTTTTCAGAGAATCGAGATGTTTGAGGGACACGTATTTCAGGAACAATTCGAACAATAACCAAATCACATAACTGCATACCCAGCCAAAACATCTTTAATATTAACCTCAATGGAACGGTGCTGTGATACAAAATTTGTTTAATTAAGAAAAAGAAAAAAAAAATCCTGCTCTATCAAATCCGACGGCGTGGTTTGACCTTCTTCTCCACTGGTTTGATGTCTGGACTCGATGTCACCTAGGAGAGACAATGAAACTGGATTAACTGTAAAAAGTGATTTAGAGCATAGTGAAAATATTATTTTGTCCTTAATTACAACCAAAACAATATAATCACATGTACCTGCTTCAATGTGTTCCTGATCAGGCTGACGGTTGTGTTCAGTGACTTATCCTCCATGTCCAGTTTGGATGGTTCTGGTAGTTTTGGTCCAATCAAAGGCTCGTTCTGCCCAGAAACAGTACTGGAGGCCTCCTCAGCCTCTTCCATTTTGCGTTTCCGTTTCTCCAAGTGTGTGGTCCGAGGAAGAAATCTGACTGCCGCAGCCTGATGTGCTGACGGTCTGCTCGATAAGGTCTGTTTGCTCCTTGAACTCCCTTCTCGCTGCTCTAATGTGTCAGCACAGATATTGTGTAAAGTCCCCATTTTATCCTCTGTTGGTAAATGTTGACTTTTAGGCCTATGGTAATGATGTTCTTGGGGAGGTAATGGCAGTAGAGGAAAGCCTAAATAGTGGCTGACGTTTGGAGTCTCCCTTGTATTGTCATTTCCAGAGGTCTGTTTGTGTGTGAGGATGTTGTCGTCTGACGTGGTAGTTGTTTCCGATGAAGTAGGCTCTTCTTGTGTGTCCTCTTTCTGTTCCCTTTCTCTCACTTTGCAATAATAAAATGAGACAGAAAAAAGTGTAAAAATCCACATCATTCAAAAAAGATCCAAGTCAAATGAAAATAAAAGTGCAAAAGGGAAATGGTGGAAATGTACAAAGAAACAATGAAAAGATGTAAAGTGACTAGTTGTGTGTGTGTGTGTGTATTTATATTTATATATATATATTTATCTATCTATCTATCTATCTATCTATCTATCTATCTATCTAT